CTATTTACCTGCGTCTATGACCAGGACTCGATCCCCGTCCATGACAGTGGGAATCCGGTGAGCGATGCTTATGATAGTGCACGATTCGAAGTCTTCTCTTATGATCTTCTGTATCACAGAATCTGTCTGAGAATCTACTGATGCAGTTGCTTCGTCTAGGAACAAAAGTCTGCTACGTTTTAGCATCACCCTCCCTAAACATAGAAGCTGTCTCTGCCCTACGCTCCAGTTCTCCCCATTATCAACCACTGTTTGTTCCATTCAAGTATTTAAGTCATGATTCTTATAATTCTCATGAAATGTATCAAACTCGATTGTGACCACTCACCCAAAGAATCAAGCTTCTCAGGCTTTGCAGCAACAACCTCCTTGAGTTGGCATCGTTCTAGGCTCTATAGGGACAGAAGAAGAGAGAGAAAAAACAAGAGATTATTGTATATGTTTTCAATGCAAGAAGCAAGTTAATGGTTTTATCATCATTACCTTCCAGATTTCTTCGTCAGAGTATTGCTCTGTTGGATCGATGTTGCTCCTCACGGTTCCTTCAAAGAGTACAGGTTCTTGAGGGATGATTCCAAATCTTGACCTGAGATCATGTAGACCTAGAGTGCATATATCAATCCCATCGATGATTATCTTCCCTTCTGATGGTTCTACAAGCCTGAACAAGACTTGGACCAAAGTCGATTTCCCGCTTCCCGTTCGTCCAACCACACCGACTTTCTCTCCTCCTTTGATATCCAGAGTGATTCCCTTGAGCACAAGTGGAGTGTTCGGTCTGTAGCGAACCTGTTGTTTTTTTTTTAACAAACAAGAGATTCTTCACAATTTTGAAACAGTAAAGATGACCATGGAGATGTTTGGTTTCTTTCAACTTACCTTGAGGTCTTCGAGATGTACATTCCCATAGAAGGGCCAATTCGAAGGTGGTTGGTTCTCTTTTCTCTCCCACGCGGCTTCTGAGGGAATTACACTGAACTGTTTGATCCTTTCAACAGAAACCATCTTGTTCTCGACAATGCAGCTCAGGTATATGGCGAAGAACAGAACCGAGTTCAAGGATAGTCCGTAGGAAAGAGACAGCCCTACATTCTCTGCATCAGGCCATAAGAATATCCATGAATGATTGTCTTGAGGGATTACAGTTTATCAACTACGCAAAACGGGGATCTGTACCTGGTCTGATAACGTTACTCGGTAACATTACCATAAACAGAGCCGAGATACAGAGCACCCAGCTTCCCATCAGCTCTAGCCGAAACCCGAGCCATTCATTTGAGCCATTGTTGTGAAAGTCCATCCTGAGATTGGCGTTGACACGTTTCACATTCTCTAGCCTAAACAATTCTTGTTTCCTGAATGATCGGATTGTGGTCACTCCGGCTATACTTTCTGAGAAATGGTGGATGACGGGGGCCTTAGTGATCGAGTCCAGGCGAGTTAACTCACGGGTAGACGCGAGGTAATAGTTCTG